GTACGTCCCCTGGGGCATTCATGTACCGAAGGACGTATGTCCCCTGGGGTTTCAGGTGATGAAGGACGTATGTCCCCTGGGCCTTCAGGTATGGGGCCTAAGGCCACACCTTGTTGTAGTATGGGCTGTCCGGAGTCTTCTTTGTTGTGTTTGGGCCACTTGGGCCGGTTGGGCCTGATTGTAGTAGTGGAAGTATGTGGGCTAGGGGTCCTGGGCCATATACTCCATCATATATATATATATATATATATATATATATATATATATATATATATATGTGTGTGTGTGTGTGTGTGTGTGTAGATATATATACATATACATACATACATATATATATATATATATATATATATACATACATATATATGTATGTATGTATGTATATATATATGTATATATATATATGTGTGTGTGTGTGTGTATATATATATATATATATATGTATGTGTGTGTGTGTATACACACACACACACACATATGATCGAGTGCTTAATTTGCAATCAATAATTTGTTCCCTTAACATATTTGAATCTGCAACGATCCATAAATGTAAGATATTTAAATAAGGTGCTACAGACAACTTCATATATGAATCATGCAATCATGTTCTGGCGGGCCAAAATTCTTTCCTGAAAACATTCATCAAGTATTTTAACTGAGAGTGACTTTTTAAAATCGTATGACAAGGAAATATTTACTTAGAAAATTTAAATGTGCTACGGTCAATCTTTGCTTAATCAAGCCAAGATTCATTTCATAAATTATTAAGCTATAAAGGTCAACTCATTAAAAAGAATGTTTAATCATAGATGGAAAGAGATTTAAATTGTGTCACATATATCAAGAATATTGTAACAAAGTATTATCATGCACGCACTCATCAAATATCATGCATGCCAATTATTCATGCAGAATAGAACTGAGTACAGTTCTAACGTTGATAGAACTGATAGTAGTTCTATCCGTTGATCCACCTGCATGGTTAGTCATTGAAAAATTACAGCTGCCCATTTGGACCTTAGAATAGTTCTGTCCTTTGTTTTCTATGGTTAGTCATCAACAAAACCCCATACTTATCAACAAATTCTCCCCTTTTGTTGATGACAAACCTTAGGTGCCATAAAAATATTCTGATCTTGCGGATTAGTATTGAGCAAAATATAGAAGTAGCAGTTTAAGTGTAGCAACATAAATAGAGGCACCCAATTATTTTCCCCTTTTGGCATCAACCCAAAGGAAACATGAAATCACCAAAACAATGCCTAAAACAGTTAAGTGTTTAGAAAATGTAAGAATGTAATAATGTAATCCCGTCCCAGATAGTTAAGTAAATATTGTTCAGTCACTCTTCATCAGATGATGACACAATTCGTCTTCCAAGGCCACCATCACCTCCACACGTACTGAGCTTCTCGATTACATCAGTTTTCAGGGCCTGAAGATCACCTCTAATGATGCCACTAGTCTCCGCAAGTTAGGCTACTATAGCAGCCAGACTAGTGACAGATTCTGAGAGAGAGGGTCAAAACGTCGTAAAGGAGTACGTTCCATTAGGTAAATTTGATCCTTGGCTATAGTCACAAACTGCATAGGAGCAGTGGTGGCAAGAGGGAACAAGATTAGGTTTAGAAGGAACGGGCTTAGGTTTATTTTCAGAAGTGGTGGCTGCAAAATCCTTGGTTACTAATTTGGATTTTTGAATGACAATCCCTAGATTTTGTAATCCTTTAAGGTCCATGGCTTTGTTCACACTTATTAGAGAGAGATCAGTAAGGCGAATTCCCTTTTTCAGGAAGAGGATGGTAAGTGGAGGTCCATAGGGAATGCCTATATTTCATGATGTAGAACTGACAATGAAATTGAGGTTGGCAAGCATAAGAACAAGAAGGTTTATATGGATTTTATTGGTAAGGAGGCACATATAAGCTAATTCAACATGAGACGTTGATTGACGCCCTTCAAGACTAGGAACCATGTTGTGGTGAACAAAGTAAAATAGAAGTTTGTGAGCAGGGGACAAACTTGCTACATGTAAGGACATATCAATAACTGTTGGGTCAAAGTATATTTTAGGGCAACTGTATGAGCAACATTGGGTAAGGGCTAGTCCTTCTTATCATACAGACACTCACCAGAACATGGAACTTTAAGAAGAGAGCTTAAGTCATCTAAATCAAGCTAAAGTTTTATGCCTCGGACCCTAGAAATAAGTACACTGTTTTTGATGATTAGGTTTGCTAGAAAGTGAGAGACACATTCAGGGTAGACGAGAAGACAATTTTTGGAGTCAAACAGGTCATTCCAGTTTTGAAAGGAAATTAAGTCAATAAATTCAGATGTTAGAGGAGAAAGTTTTTCAAAGGAGATGAAAATTACCTTTACATATTCCCTCTTCAGATAGACCTCCTTGAATTTGGCATCGTCTTCTTTAGCTATTTTCCCCATCTTGGGACATTGTTTTGAGGTGGACTTATCTGAGATGATTTCCATGGCAATGGCTCTTTTTCGAGTGACCTTCCGTGTCAGAGCTTTGCGTTTATTGATCATTCTGTCAGGGTGGCTGGTGTCGGGAGTTGGTGATGCATGCCCCTTTTTTGAGATGGAACTGGCTTCCCTGTTCAGTTCCCCCTGAGATGAAGAGGATTTGCTTTCCTCTGCTGTTGGTGATTTTGGGGATGATGGTCCGGGTGTAGTAGAGATGGAAGGGCTTTGCTCCATGATAGGGGGGATGGGTTCGAGATTCATGTGGATCGAAGTGGAAGAGGGTAGTTTTTGAGGAGTTCGGTTTCTATTGGAACGGCGAAGTGCGGTTGGGGGAGCTCCTCCTCTAGTTTTAACCATGGTGATAGAAGTAGAGGAAGATGGAAGGTGGTTTTAATGCGGCCGAAAAGAGTGGGGTATTTTTGGGAACTGAATCGGTTGAATTAATGGTTGTAGGAAGATGTTCCATATCAAATTTGATAAAATATGTGTGACCGTAAATCATTTCCATATAATGAATTTATCAAAATAAACTAATTCTTCTTTAGGTAATTGTCCTGAATAGGACTAATGAGTTCCTAAAAAGCACAAATAAGTCTACTATTAAAATTTCCCAAATACGACTAAACATTGATTTTCTACCTTAAGAACCCCAAGGGTATTAATTCATAATCAAATGCTTTAATTCATAATAAAATCATATAAAGTAATAAAAAATCGTAAAAAATAATAAAAGAATCATAAAAAAATTCAAAAATTAATAAAAAATTATAATTTTTTTTTTTATTTTTTTTAATTTTAAAAAATAATAATAAATATTAAAAACCCATAAAAAATAAAAAAATGGACACCTTTTCCACCGCTTCCCACCGCCTCCCAGCACCACCACCCCCGAGCGGTGAAATTTCTGCCACTTTTTGTAAAACAAATACTACCTTTTTCTGAAAATGTCAAGAAAACGACATAATTAGTCTTCAATATGCCAACATTTTCATTGAATCTGTCATCATTGTGGCTTTATTTAAAAGAGATAATTATCGTTCGTGTGACTAAAAGAAAGACAAATTCCCAATCTATGACTTGATAGTTTTTTTCCTAGACTGTTGAATGAGATGCTATCATTTAATGTTATTATATAAATTATTATTATTCCGGCTAGTACCCTCAAACGGGTTTTGGGAAATAAAAGTGGAACCGTCAACTTGTTTTTCGGCCATTATGATCATGGTTGCATATTCAGAATTAATCTCAAAGCCTAAATAATAGGGGTTATCAAATAAAAGTAACCGCTGCATTAATTTATACTACATAGGTTATCAAATTCCCAGTACTCCATCTTACTCCGTCTTAATGCCCAAGTTACTCCTAAAACAATTTAATGCCCTCATTTTTAAACTTTGTGGCAGTGCTACTCCCTCATTTCAAAACATTGTAATGCCCTCATTTTTTTTTATTGCTACTCCCTAATGTTATTACTGCCCTTATATTGCTTATACTATCTAATTTCTTCCGAACATTGAACACACTATTATTGCCTTCTTCTTGTTCGTAATGTCAAGTTTCTTCCTTAGGAAACTTAATTCCCTTCCACACCTTTTTAAGTATTACAAGTTAGACTACTGCCCGAACATTTAATCTTCTACTATCCATCCACTTACATCATTCAAAAAATTTATTGTCAAACTTACACTAATCTTCAATAATACATGTTTCACACTTGATTCCATTAAGCATCTAATGACTGCTTAATGCCCTAATTAACAATGCCCTAACGTCATTTATCACTTCCGTTTAATGTTCGGATTCTTTCTGCAACTACAGATGCATGGACCCCTAACCCCATGCACGGACTAAAATAAATCAAATTTTACACTTAACACCCTGTTCACTATAATTATATGTTGCTCGCCATCGCTTCCTTCTTTAGATTCAAGTGTATTTTTGCACTTAACTCCTTTGATAACGTATGTAGAAGGAATGTGTTTCCTTCTTCTCTACCGCAATAAATGTTCGGTCTCTATCGCGAGCATATAAAGTTGTTGTACTTTCATTATCATAAGAAATTTTCTTTTTTATTTAAACTTTACGGAGATGGGCAATGAGGTCATTTTATTTCAATTTTAAGAGATGGGTAGTCATGTACGATTTATTGTGATCATATTTTGGTATATCAGGTTTTTAAGTCATATAATGGGAAACTCTGTCTCTTCTAGTAATATTACGGAAAATTTCCCTATTTAAAATGTTGACAAATTTTCTCTGGTGATGAGAGCTGGTGGTGGCAGAGGCGACGGTGTTTTTTTACGTTTTTTTTAATTTTTTAATTTTTTTAATATTTTTTTAAATTTTTTATTTTATAAATATTTTATTAATTGTTTTTTACAATTTTTATTACTTTTTTACGATTTTATAATTTTATTATTAATTAAAACATTTCAAAAATTACAAAGATGTATTTATCCAAACAAACATAAATAGTCTTATCGAGGAATTTAAAAAATGTAATTGCAATTTTGCCAGTTTGATGTTTGGGAATTTTGTTGAATCGTAGAGCTTGCTTGCTTTACTGGAGTAGTATTTCTGTGAGCTGAAAGCTGTTTTGGCATGCCACCGTTCTCTAGTCTCGGCGGATGCGGACCTATTCTTCTGCAACAGAGAGTAATGAACAGCTCCACTCAAACCCTCCTCAAAACCCTCTTGGCGAACCCATCTGCCATCAAAACTGAGTCCCAGGCCACGCAATTACATGCCCTAATCGTCAAAACCAGACGCTCTTCTTCTCTGTGTCTCGCCACCCTTCTTTCTGTCTATACCAATTTCAACCTCTTAGAAGAATCCCTCTCGCTCTTTCACTCCCTCCCTTCACCGCCCCCCAAAGCCTGGAAATCCCTCATCAAATGCTACACTTCAAATGGCTTTTTCTACGAATCTTTGCATTCTTTTGTCGAGATGAGAGCTTCAGGGAAGTACCCGGACCGGAACGTGTTCCCTTCAGTGCTTAAAGCGTGCACCCATTTGCGTGATTTGAGGTTCGGTGAGTCCGTTCATGGGTTTGTTTTGAGGTATGGGCTCGATTACGATCTCTACACTGGTAATGCACTGATGAACATGTATGTCAAATTACAGGGTTCGGATGACCTGAACCTGTTCGATGAAACTCTCCAAACAAGTGAACTCGATGCATTTGAGAAAGCTTCTCTGGCTAATAACGGTATGTTTTCATTAACTCGGGATTCAAAGAGCAATATAGATGAGGCTGTGAAAGTCCCTGGTTTGGATTCCATTAGTAGAGATGGAGAGGAGAGAGTATGGAAATCTTTAAAAGTTGATAGTGTTAGGAAATTGTTCGAGATGATGCCAAATAGGGATATTGTTACATGGAACACAATCATTGTGGGTACTGTACAAGGTAGGATGTATGTCGAAGCTCTAGAGATGGTTAGGGAGATGAGAAACTCTAATTTGAAGCCCAATAGTTTCACTTTGTCCAGCATCCTTCCCATTGTTGCTGAACAAGTGGATGCCTTGAAGGGAAAAGAAATTCACAGTTACTCAATCAGGCACGAGCTTGACAGAGACGCGTTTATTGGGAGTAGTTTGATTGATATGTATGCGAATTGCACCCTGGTGGAAGACGCATACAGGGTTTTCACACTCTTAGCGGAAAAGGATGACGTTTCATGGAATTCAATGATCTCAGGATTCATACAAAATGGTAATTTCGATGAAGGGCTGAAGTTGTTTAGGGAGATGCTAGCTGCTAATATAAAGCCTCTGCCAGTCTCTTTCTCAAGTATAATTCCTGCATGTGCTCATTTGACAACACTCCATTTGGGAAAGGAACTCCATGCTCACATAACCAGAACCGCATTCGCTGATAACATGTACATTTCTAGCTCTCTGGTTGACATGTATGCAAAATGTGGAAAAATACAGACAGCTCGCCGGATTTTTGATGACATGGTATTACACGATTCAGTTTCTTGGACATCCATGATTATGGGCTATGCACTTCACGGACATGCACATGATGCTGTCATCTTATTTGAGAAGATGGTGATAGATGGTGTGAAGCCTAACTCTGTTGCCTATGTAGCTGTTTTGACTGCTTGCAGCCATGGCGGTTTGATAGAAGAGGGCTGGAAACATTTCAAAAGTATGAGCCAAAAATATGGGATTGCCCCTGGGATTGAGCACTGTGCTGCCATTGCAGACCTTTTCGGCCGAGCTGGAAGGCTACTGGAAGCATACGAGTTTGTCTCCAATATGCATATCAAGCCAACAGGGAGTGTTTGGTCTGCTCTGTTGTCAGCTTGCCGTGTTCACAAAAATGTCGAGCTTGCTGAAAAAGTTTCCCATGAAATAACCAAAGTGGATCCTGATAATATGGGTCCCTATGTCCTCTTGTCAAATATGTATTCAATTGCAGGACGCTGGAAAGATGCTTCGAAACTTAGAACCAATATGAAAAAGAAGGGAATGAGGAAGACACCAGCTTGCAGTTGGGTTGAAGTTAAGAACAAGGTACACGCTTTTGTCGCAGGGGACAAATCACATCCTCAATATAATCAGATAGAAACAGAACTGAGAAACATTTCAAAGCGACTGAAGGTAGAAGGATATGTTCCTGAGACGAGTGAGGCATTGCATGATGTTGATGAAGAACAAAAACATGATCTGTTTTTTGCTCATAGTGAACGGATTGCAATAGCATTTGCAATCATTAATACTCCTGCTGGAACAAGCATCCGGGTGACCAAGAATCTTCGGGTATGTGTGGACTGTCACACAGTCACTAAGTTGATATCCAAGATTATGAGGAGAGAAATAGTTGTTAGAGACAATAACAGATATCACCATTTCAAAGGCGGGGATTGTTCATGTGGAGATTATTGGTGAAAAAACTACTGACTGAGTATCTAATAACTTTGAGATGTGGGGTTCAAAAGCTTCATGCAATTGGGAAACCCCATAAGGTCATATCTAGCTAGCTGCTATCCATCTGTGAAGCTTCAATGATATTTCAAGCAGTGGAATCAACAAGCCAATGTACAAGATCCAGATGAGGATCTTCTGCTCATAGACCTTTGGATTACAGCTCGTCATTTTTCTTTGTTGACTTACTTCTGGAGGACTGTAGGACAAGTGAAAAGAAGTTGAGGTCATAAAACCAAGGTTTACTCAGGTAAGTTACTTTCTAATTGAATGTTCTTTAATGAAACCATGCTTGTCACGGCGTCGCCTAGGCGTCCAGGCGCTGGAGAGTGGTCGCCAGGTAAGCTCGCCTCGCTGGAAGAAGAATAGTCGAGGTTGGCGTCATCCAGACGTGAAGTTGGCGACAAGTCGCCGCCTACTTTTGCAGTTTTGCCCAGTCGAAAAGCCGTCCGTGTTCTGCAGGCCCAAAAATGAGTAAATTAAGGTTTAATTTTTTAGTAAACTCATTTAATTAAGGATTTAGGCTTTTAATTAGAAACAAAGCCCAAATCTAACTTAAGAAGCAGAGTCGTAGAGAACAACTCACAGGACCAGACGAACCGTAGAACTTCAGGAAGCAGAAGAAGTCGCCGGTCTCTCCAGTCGCCATCCCCGGTCCGTCGTTGAAGGCTTGAAGCAGACGACCAGAAATAGGTCCACCGATCTCTTATTGGCTTCTTGTGTAGCGGTGTAGTGGATTTAGTTTTTTAATATTTTAATTAATTAAGTGGTATCAATATATGCGTATATATATACTGCAACACTTCTATACTGCGTATTATATAAAACGGTGAACATGGTGATATAGACTATTAAACCATTAATTTATTATACCGGTGATATCTTGATGTGCTCGTATTAGACTATTAGTTTAATAATAAACTATAAAACCATTCATTTATTATTTATTATATGCTATATAATAAAGTGCAGAACTGGTGAATGGTGATATATACTGATATGCTCGTATTAGTTTTATAATAAACTATTAAACCATTAATGTATTATATATTATACATAATATATAATCATATATATAATTATATATATAATATATTTTATATTATACATATATAGGCGACTATCCGCCTAATTGTCGCCTAGGCGGGCGCCTTATCGCCTGGGCAATATGGCGGTCGGCTGGCGCCGCGACTCGACTTACCGCCGTGACAAGTATGAATGAAACTGAAACTGAAACTTTTTCGGGTTGACATGCAATGTATTTCCAGTTTTTTTACACAAGTACGTGTAAATGGAATGCATCCTTTTATAATCTTATGTGCAGGGTGAAATGTTATTCTATTGTTTTTTGTTTTTTGTTTTGAGATAGGGGGATGAGTGGTGTGGAGGCATTTCAGTCTTGACAGAGCCTGGGTGTTCCATGGCAGTCATTGCTGTAAAAGTCCTGTCAAACCATGACTAATTCCCGCTTACATCATCTCCAACCCACGGGGTGAATAAATGCAAATTTCACCCCATCCTATTTTTCTCAGACATCCCTTGTATTTTGAGGATGAAAGGTGGGAATAACCATGCATGCGATGAAAACTCCAGCCCTCTTTCATTCAACTTTTGGGACAAGGAGGCAGATGAGCTTAATGGAGTCAGTCGTTGAATGTCACTAAAGACTGCTCACTTCCACATGGCACCACATGCTGAGCCTCATACATTGGTCTTTTAGAGATTTAGATTCCTTTTGAATTAAAAGATATAATCTCAATCAAATATTTGTCATTCGTTTGGCACTGCTTTAATTGGGGGGGGGGGGGGGGAATTGACCTGACGACAGTGTAGGTAGTTTGACTTTAAGGATTTAACTTTTTTTAGAAAAGAGAAATCTAAATTTGTTGCGTCGAAGTGTAGGTTTTTAAAATATCCCATTGTTGGAAGCATTAAAGAGCAAAGACGTATCTGTGTGAACTAAAGCATCAGTGCAGAATGAGGCAAGAAAATGAATTCATAACAGAAACAGATTTTTTTTGGTTATAACAGAAGCAGAACCTGATCATGTTAATTTTTTTCACCAAAAGGGGAAAAGTAAAACCAATAGCTAAAAGAAATAAACACTCAATACCATGTGTGTGTGACCAGATGCTTTTTCGTTATTCAGTTCGTTTTAACTGTGAACTCTGCTTATTGGGCACAGCTCAGAATAATGAATGGCAACTAGATGCAATGGAACAAGCTCCTAGATTCCTTTTTGGGAACATTTTTATGTTCAAAGATATCTATATCCAAAATGTTGACCTTTATTTGGAATTCAAATTGTATGTGTGCAGTTCGTTGATACTGTGCTACTTTATTTGGGTCATGTGTGCACAATATCTTAAAATCTGATCTGTAAATTTCTTATTTCAGTTCCTACTTTGACGAATTTGATGTCACGAGATGAAACCTCAGCAGTTGACAATGATGTTCAAAAGTGTGAGTGCAAATGCTACACCTGCATATCATGTAAATTCTTTAAACCTAACTGAAAGTAAACTGATACATAGACCTTTCGATTACAGCTCGCCATTTTCTTTGTTGACTTACTTCTGGAGTAGGACAAGTGAAAAGAAGTTGAGGTCATAAAACTAAGGTTTACTCTGGTAAGTTATTTTCTAATTGAATGTTCTTCAACTTAATCAACTCCACTACTTCATGAAAACTGAAACTTTTTCGGGTTGACATGCAAATATGCAATGTATTCCAGTTTATACACAATGGTAATTTTCTTTTTCAAAATGAACTTTTACCTTTTTAAATGACAATAAACCATTTTCATTTAATTTTTCCCTTAAAATGGGGAACCATTTTTCGTTCTAATTTTATCTTTCTTTTAAAAAAGAGAATATAATTTTTCAGAAATCTTCTCGGCATGTGGCCCACTACTTGGTGCCTTGGTCGTGACGGACTGAGCACACCTAGAGGACAGTTGGTTCCTTCACATTTTAACAATCTTGTTTACAAAGCTGTATTTTTATGAAAACATATCTTGTTTACAAAACAGAAAATCATTTCTACACTCTTAAGTATCAAATAGACCTGTAGTGGTTCACATATGTAAATTTGGGCTGTCATTGTATACTAGCTCTGGCTAAGGCATTTGAAGTTGGACTTCTCTTGAACTGGGATTTTAGCTGAACATAGTGAGTGGGGACTTATGAGACTAGAGTCATGAAGTCCCATGGGTCAACCTTGTTAATGTGAGCTCTATCGGCTCATTGAGAAGCACACGGCTCAAAGCTCTTCAACGAGCAAGAGTGCAAGATCCAGTATTAACTAAGAAGATTTACCATCCTTCGGTCAACATAACTTTTCCTTCATTGAACTTGATTTGATGTCTCATATCCAACACGGAAGAGAACGTGCCCCAATCTATCGTCGTCTACTTACATTCGCCTATAGGTCGCCCAAATGAGGATTGTAATGCTTGAGGCTAACTCCATTTAAGCTCATCGTCCTTGTAGTGTATATGGAGTTAACTCCATTTAAGTTCAATAATTTCTTTGAACTTATTCACACTGAACTTATTCTTTGAACTTATTTCTCGACAGTCTGTGAGTACTATCAGGAAAGGGGAGTTTCTTTTGTTTGGCAAAAGAACAAATATCACTCACTTGTACTAAAGGAAAATTTATTGATTTATACCGAGAAGATGAAACTTTGAGTACATTATTAGAAGGATGACCTAACTTGGAGTGCCACATACTTTCCAAATCAGAAGATACAATGTTGAAGGAATTTGAAAAACTATTACATCCATTATTGACCGGTAGAACTGACATGTGCAGGATTGTGGTGAATAAGATAAAAGTCCAGATTGTTGCCTAGCTGCTCCAATCTTCTTGAAGGTATGTTTCTGTATGACTCAGTCAGATTCACAAAAAATAATCATTTCATTTTCATTTTCATTTACCCCAGTGCCGCAAAGGCTCCCACCTACGGTGGGGTAAGGGGGGGTCGGATGTAAGCAGTCTTACCCCTGCACTAAAGCACAGAGAGACTGTTTCCGGATGACCCATAGTGAAAATCGCGTCCAAAATTGCATGGACTGACTGCTTCTTCATAACAAAGAAGCACAGACAGTTTAGTGAGCCATTTTGCTTTATTCCATCATAATCTCAAGCCAAAAAATAATGAATCTTTGGCTCCATTACAAATAATGGAAAAATTCACAAAAAATAATAACACAGTTAAATGTTTTTGTCAATTTTTGGGAATGGAGATGTGAACTGTGAAAGAGGGAACATAGAGTGTGTCATACAGAAAAATATTGTCAATCTGAACAATACCAGAATATTTGGCAACAGCAAACTGATTATTAGGTAACTTGATAGATATGTGAGTAATAGATTTAAAAAAAAATGAAGTATGATGTAGTAGGGCAAATATGATCTGTGGTACCACTATCAAGAAGCCAAGAGAATTTTATATCAGGATTAGTCATCTGATGATTTTGAGCATTATTGACAGCTGAAGAGGGTTCTTGAGATTGTTGGAGCAAAGCCATTAGTGCATTGTATTGATCCTTTGAGAAAGTGAAAGCATTCTGGTTGTTGACCTCTCTTCCTGAGCAAGAGAAATTGGAGCAAGAGAAAATGAACCAGCAGCATTTGCAAAAAGCTTGAAATTTGTGATGGCAATCTTGTTGTTTGTTTTGTAACCAGGGGGAAACCATAGATATGTAAGCATGTATCTATAGTATGATTCTTCTTTTTTCACTTGGTGCAGAATTTGTTATTTTTGCCACTACTTCTCATTTTACCAGAACGATTACCACGATTATTAGTGAGTCCACCTCTTGGAGTAAAACCTGTTCTACCAGAATTGTCAATGAAAGTGGCAAGAGCAACAGGTTCTTGTGATATTGGAGTAGATTGATATCAAGGAAAAAGTACGAGTTAGGCTTGGCATTGAACCCTAAGCATAACCCGAGAGTGAACCTGGGAATATTCTTCATCAAGACTTCTTAGAAACTTGATAATGCAGTCATCTCTCTTTCCTTTTGAATTTTGGTCATGATTCCACAAGAACAAGTAGTTGTACAAGAGAAAACAAGAACTGTTCTATACATGGATGTTTCCTTCCATAGAGTTTGCAAATGAGTAAAATATTGCGAAACATTAAGATTACCTTGTCGACGATTCTGTAATTCTTCTAGCAAATCAGCAAATTTGAAACTTGTCACCATGAGAAAATTGATTGCATAAGTCACGCCAGATCTTTGAACCAAATTCATTCCACATGATAGATTGCCAAATCAAAGTAGTCAACGAGCAGTTGAGCCATGACATAACCATTTTGTTACATTGACCTCATGCTTTGTGATCTGTGAAGAGGATCTGACGCTGGTGGACTGTGGACATGATGAAGACATGAAGTACAGAGAACAAATTGATCTTTTTTCTTTGTTTCAAGTCCAACAAGCATGTCATGTTTCCATTGGGGAAAATTGTTTTCTGCAAGCAGTGTTGTGATGAGGATTCGTTGGATTCACTAGATGATCTGTGAGCGGCGAGTGCCATTGTTAAGAAAAAAATGGAGAAGTACGTTTTAGTGAAGTAAAACTTGATATGAACTATGAAGGTGTGAGTTTGTGTTTTCTCTCTGATACCATATTAGCTATTACTCCGTATGTTCGTATCAAAAGATTGATAGGATAGAATATCAAATTATCATTCATCCAGTATAGTTAGGCATGAACCCGGCCTAGGCCGGTTCAAGTCGGACTTTTTTTCCAGGATGTTGGGCCCGGAACCAGCCGGGGTTGATACTGGGTTCGGGCCGGTTCGGGCCCGGTTCAAGGTAATTTGTTTTGGCTTTGTAATTAACCCCTGACCCGCCTCCCTCACCTCCAAACCCCTCCAAAATACCCAGCCCTACCCAAGGAAAAGAAAAAAAATTGAAAAAGGAAAAAAAGAACTGGGCCCGACCTGGACCACCCGGGCCGGTTCATGAAAATCAAGGCCCGAGCCCTACCCGCCCGGCCCGTCCAAACCGGGCTAAATTCCAGAACTGGTCATCCGGGCCCGCACAGTAGCGGGCCGGTCGGGTTCTTGGGCCGGTTCAAACCGGTTGGGTCCATCCCTATGTATAGTTATTAAGATTTAATATTTATAGATGAATAAGGAAACAGAAAACGGTTAGTACAACTAACTTGGCTAACTGACTAAGGGAATAGAACAACTATATCTAATAGTAGTTGATGCATGTATATACATTTTCATTTATTTTTTACGCTTTTTATTTTAATTATATATATATATATATATATATATATATATATATATATATTATAATTTAAAAAATCTATTAAACATGACAATGGAAAGGGAAGGATAGGAGGAATTACTCCTATTTTGGGCATTTAATATTTATGCTCATATTCTTGCAAATTTTTTATTTTAGCGATAATTTGACTTACATCCTTTTTATGGGAAATTATCCTAAACAGGACTAAAAACGTTTGTAAATTCCAAAATAGGATTATCATGTTTTTATTATCAAAATAGGATTAATTACTGCTATGTTTTGACAGTACCAGAATTTAAACATGGACGTATTTTCCAAACTTGACAGTAATTACTCCTATTTTTGGAATAAAAACATGACATTCCTATTTTGGGATTTTCAAACTTTTTTTCTCCTATTTTGGGAATTCCTCCCTTTTTGATTGACACTTGATTTTGCACCGTATTTTCAAAATCATTAATATATGCACTTCATTTCACAAGGGGTGGGTTCAGTTCGGGAAATACAAAAGTTCCGAACTGAACCAATTTTTCGGTTTCTCAAATTTCATAAACCGCAACCAAACCGATTGTTACTAAAACCCGAATTTTCAGGTCGGTTTTTACGATTTGATGAAAAACCGAACAAATATTGAAATATCAGATTAAGGCAAAGCCTTGAAGCAAGCTTTGAACACCTATTCGAGCTATCCATCAAAGGCGCGCATATATAAGGATGAATATGAGTAAGAGGGTGTTTGGATCTGATTCTTAAAACTGCTTCTGCTCCTTCAGGGAGCAGAAGCAAAAGTTGGAGTGTTTGGATGAAAGTGCAGAAATACTTCTGATGCTCTAATTTACTCATAAATGTAGTTTTTTAGAAGTTGGGGCCTTGGGGGAGACCTCCTAAGTCAACTTCTGATTACTCAACTTTCGAAAACTGATTCTGATTCTACTTTAAAAAAGAAGTAGAAGCAGAATTGATTCCAAACACCCCTTAAATCCCCTGTTTCCATCGGTGTGGGAAATTTCACAAGTTTCACGAAAAGAAGAAGTTGAAGGGGGATTCAAACCTGGGTGGAAAAGATTGGGCGCGCACAGAGATGTCATTGCCAAATCGCTGAATCGTTACAACCAATTGTTAAAATTTGGGACTTACTAACGTTATATTATTACTTACTTTTGCTGTGGAATAAATAATAAAGTATCCCTTAATAAAAATCGGTTTGGTTTAAACCGATTATAAAACTCACGAAACAGCCTCTAAACTGATTCATGTTTGGGTCCCGTTCAAGTCGGTTTGGTTTCAATTTGGTTTTTTTATTGCTCGATTTTTTCGATTTAGTTTTCGATTTTTTCGGTTCAAAATGCCATCCCTACATTTCATATAAAATCACTTGATTTTGCTTTTCACCCTTTTATAATTTTTGTGCTTACAAATATTATTTATTTTGAAATGGGGTACAAAGTTCAATATCGTCCAAAGTCAAACCCCTTTTAATTTACTCCCCATTTAGGAAATGTGAGAGTTTCACTTTGCACCCCTTTTTAGTGATATTTGACTTTGTATCATATTTTCAAATTCATTAATGTATGCACTCATTTCACTATAAATCATTTGGTTTTATGTCCCACTCCTTCACAATGTTTGGCAGATGGGAAATAAATATTAATGAATTGTAAAATGAGGTGTGTAAATTTATATACAATATCATCCAAAATATGGATGTAAGTCAATTCCCCCTTAGGGTGTGTTTGGGAGTTTGAGAGTGAGGGAAGGGGAATACTTTGAAGGGGAGTAGAGAGAAGGGAAGGGGAGGGAGATGGGAAGGCCCTCCTCTTGTTTGGGAGTTGCAAATTTCAAAAGAGGAGGATTTGAGGATTTGAGAGGTTTCAACGACTAAGAAATGAAGAAAGTAGCAGCTCATAAAGATTTTATGCGGAAACGATTTTAATTTCGGAGGATAAATATCTCATTTGCGTAGCTAGACCTTATAAAACCTTCAAATCGTGGGAATTAGAAAACTCATGTTTTGGAGGGTTTAGATTTTAGAAGGATTTTATAACACCTCCAAATCTTTTTCCTCATAACTCATACTCGGTATTATTTAAACTCGCAAACACAAATAGGAAGGTTTATTTCCCTCACATGTCTTCCCCTCCCCTCCAAAAACCAATTCCCGAAAACACCCTTAACGAATTGCCCTTAAATTACTCCAAATATTGGAAACAGGGTGATCAAGTTCACAAATCTTCGATGGAAAATCAAAGTATATGACTACACAAGATCAAGTATATATATACAAAGTATAACTTTCTTAGTGGAAACCCCAATATACGTGGTTCATAAACAAGCAGACAACGTTGTCTATACACATATAACATGACAACAATAGAATTATTTTATGAACCTATATACAATCGTATGTCTATACCAGGGCCGGCCCTGGGCCTGTCTGCCCAGCCCAACCGTACAGGGCTCGGTATTGTGGAGGACCCAAAAAAAAATTAGTATTACTCCAGCCCATAAGTTTTGTTTTTAGCCCAAATCAATTCCCCAGGCCTCAAATCGGCAAATCCCCCCTCACCCCCTTCTCGGTTCTCGCTGCTCGCTGCTCTTCACGACAAAGGGACACGGACACCGCCACGGCGCCACTCGGCCCACTCCGCCAGACCGCCTCTGCCCTCTCCACAGACCACAATCGACCACAACCGCACGCCGCTGCCGGCCCTGCGCAGTCCTGCTCTCCACGACTTGACTTCAACCGACGAGGCGACGAGCCTGCGCGCAGTCCCACACGCTGACTTCAGCCGACCACCTCCGCCGCCCTCCGGCCTCCCTCAGACGCCCTCCTTCCGGTCAGTTGCTAATTTGCTAATTCTTTTATTTATTTAGTTGCTAATTTGCTAATTCTTGTGAACTTTCAATTTATTGAATATTTGAATTGATGAATTGTTTGTTGAAATCTTGTAATTTGTTTATTTTCATATTTAATGTTTGTTGAATTGTTGTGTTGTTGTTATTTGTTGATATTTTGTATTTAAAGTAAAATTGATAATAAATGTGTAATTTTGTAAATGTGTTTAGCAATTAAAACTGATAACTTCAGGTTGATAAATTGGTAACTTGAGGTTGATAAATTATAATTATACACTAGTATAGTCATTCATGCTTTCACCCTAATTTTAACTTGTATTGTAAGACAATTTGCTTGCGTTTAAACTTGGAAAAAGGCCCAAATTTTATTGTTGCACAGGGCCTCCGTTTTCTCGGGATCGGCCCTGGTCTATACAACCGTTTTTCTCAGCATGTCCGGACATGATACGTTTCATCTATCGCATATGCCACAGTCTAATATGGCGTAACAAAGTGCCTTCATGCAGTTGCACAAAACAAAACAAAACAAATCAGGAAGCATCATTAGTATGATAGATGCACGAAAAAACAGGGCGGAGCCGGGACACTGGGCCAGACTGGGCCGATACAAAGAATATTATTGGAAAAAAAATTACACGAAAGTTTTTACACTAAAAATATTGTCATTTTTTAAATTTGGGGTGGGTCAGGGCCTAACCTGGGCACCCCTAGCTCCGCCCGTGACGAAAAATTGTGTTGATAATTAAGGATTTAAGGGTTTTCACGTCTCAAAAAATGACCTTATGTATGATATGTACAACATAAACTGCATATGTTTAATCTGATCTTACCCTACATCATCTCCTTTGGCTTTGGACTTGCTTCCTCGAGAACCCTTCTTCTTCTTTCCGCTGATTGGGGAGTTCATAGGCGGATTAATACCTTTCATGCGCGTCAAAATTAAAGTATATACGAGAAATTAAAATGTGAGAGAAAAGACCAGAAGGTATAGTTGTTTCATTTCATATGAGACGGAATTGAAATAGACCAAACTATCAGAGAAGCATCCCACATTCCCGCCAGCATACATATTTATTTAGGTATCTTTTGAGTAACACTTTTAAGAAATTACTCTAAACAGGAATAAGAACGTTTAATAATTCTAAAATACAAGGACTATGTTTTATTTTCAAAATAAACAAATGTCTTAATTTGTACAATAGTACTCCTAGTAGCATGCTTCTTTATTGTACTGTACATGCAACAAATTACAAAAAATAAACAATATTAGATGTAGTACTTCGTATTTTATTCCATCATCACATACAATGCTAGTGATGGAGTATATGGGTCCAGACCCCATTGCCCACATACTTCCAGCTACATTCAAGACCCCGGGGATGTACGACGTCAAGCACATGGAACACCTCGGGGACGTACGGCCTCCAGCACAAGGAACACCCCGAGGACGTACGGCCTCCAGTTACATGCAAGACTCGGGGGACGTACAACGTCAAGAACAAGGAACACCCGGGGGCCGTACAGCCTCCAGCACATGGAACACCCCGGGAACGTACGACCTCCAGCACTCCGTTAGCCATACGTACGTCTCCAAGGACTTCGTCCGCCACAGCCACACATACGTCTCCAAGGACTTTGTCTGCCACAACCAGACGTACGTCTCCAAGGACTTCGTCAGCCACAACTAGACGTACGTCTCCAAGGACTTCGTTTGCCACAGCCAAACGTACGTCTCCAAGGGTTTCGTCTGCCACAACTAGACGTACGTCTCCATGGACTTCGTCTGCCACAGCCAGACGTACGTCTCCAAGGACTTCGTCTGCCACAGCCAGACGTACGTCTCCAAGGACTTCATCTGCCACATCCAGACGTACGTCTCCAAGGACTTCATCTGACACAGCCAGACGTACGTCTCCAAGGACTTCATCTGCCACAGCCAGACGTACGTCTCCAAGGACTTCGTCTGCCACAGCCAAACGTACGTCTCCAAGGACTTCGTCTGCCACAGCCAGACGTACGTCTCCAAGGACTTCGTCTGCCACATCCAGACGTACGTCTCCAAGGACTTCGTCTGCCACAGCCAGACGTACGTCTCCAAGGACTTCGTCTGCCACAGCGAGACGTACGTCTCCAAGGACTTCGTCTGCCACAGCCAGACGTAGGGGAGAGCAAACCCTACCCTACACGATTGACCCGATCAGATATATCCGATTTTTTGGTTGGGGTCGAAAAACCCGTCCCGAAATACCCAAATCCGATCCGATTTTTGCAACCCGAGACTTAAGCGGGTAGCGGGTAGGGTTACCAATTATGCTACCCGACCCGTCCGAAAAACCGAACTAGCGTAGTATATATACTACTTTGAATTATTATTCATGTTCAAATATCTCAATTATTGTATGCTAATTACCATATTATGTATGTTCAGATATTCCAATTACCGTATTTGTACAACAATAACTTTGAATGTTGTATTGTTATGACTTTGAATGATATTTTGACCAATTATCATTTTATTTATCACAATATCAAATATGTCAATCACCATATATTATTATTTTACATACTCAAATATGTCGATTACCGTATTTATACAACTATTACTTTGAATGTTATACTAGTATAATATTGAATGATATTTTTACCAATTACCATTTTATTTATCACAATTTCAACGATAATAAATTAAAATCCGAATGGACCCGAAAACCGAATCAACCCGACCGCAACACGAACTTCTTCAACCCGAAAAACCCGATAAATTTTTTGATAGGGTAGGGTTTGAAATTATCAATCCGATACCTGAACGGGTTCACCATTTTTGAACCTGACCCGCCCGAATCCGACCTGTGCTCTGCCCTGGCCAGGCGTACGTCTCCAAGGACTTCGTCTACCATAGCCAGACGTACGTCTCCAAGGACTTCGTCTGCCACAGCCAGACGTACGTCTCCAAGAACTTCGTCTTCTAGACTTCCATACTTAGCTTATATATCCGAATGTAATCAGCCCAATAGAGGCCTTAGCTTTCATACTTAATGCCGTCGTCCTCATATCACGACCGGCTCCTCGACCTTGGCGTGATTATTTATCTCAAGATCGACTTCCCTAGCATCGAGTGTCTTGAGCCAACCATCGGGAGCCATGATTCATGTTATTGATAAAGATCAAGGAGATAATGTGCGATACATCATTTACCGCCATAACTCATAAGCATTACTATGTAAAACGTTTCACAGAAACCTTTCTATAACAAACTGACTGAGTATACACACAAAAATAAAATAAGCATCTATGGGCTGGGGAGCTTCTCTATGGGATATTTTCAGTCTTTACATAATTTTGTTAATATACGTGTTAGAGTTTACTGCTAAACTTTCAATGCTTGTCACACTACCCTTATAAAATATAGCATCCAATAAATTGATTTAGTACATAGAAATTGAACTATTTTATATTAGACAGAAAATGAACTATTTTAAATTCATTTTATCTCTAAGCCAATGATTATTGTATGAACATACACTATTTTTTCCGATAAGTAACAATGTGAGTACGTAACTCATCTAAAGTACATAGAAATGCCCACCCTCCATAGTTACAAAGAATAAAAGGTTTCCAGATGTTTATAAATGATAGACTCATAGACTAAAAATAAGACACTTGACAAGTACCTTGGCCGCATAGAGAATAATCATTTGTTACAGGTGAGCCTAGTGATTTAGTACTTGGTTACTGTCTTCTTACTTTTTACAGGTCTTACATTGCATATTAAAGGATTATTTTCGGGTCCTAGTTAAACTGAACTGATATTTCGGGTCCCCAAAAACCGGTTCTCGATTCTATTTCGGTTCGATTTCGGTTTCCATTTTTGCTCAAACCGAAAAAATCGGTTCGGGTCCCAAACCAAACCCAACCCTAGTCACAGTTAGGTTAGTAAGACAGGTGAAATAAACACGCAAGTTGCTTAAAACGCGGCTTACTAACCGAAAGAGATGCTTAAAGTGTTGCTTACTAAGCACACCACCCCCATGTATTAATTAAACGCCACTTTAAGCCTTTTCAGTTTCCGAATTTACCATTACCTTTACCCCTTGCCCTTACCCTATTGCTACCCCATTACCCGCCCTACCATACCTTACCCCGACCCCACCCCCACCCCCACTAGTACTCCTTACCTTTATCCTACCCTGACCCTACCCTTTTATCGCTTACCACTTGCCCCTACTTCGACCCCACCCCAATCCCTACTCCCCCATTCCTACCCCAATCCCGACCCCTCCACCACCACTTTACCCAACCCCTACCCTACCACCCCAGCCCAAACCCCCAACCCCTACCCTGACCTTACCCTCCACCACTTGGTCTGCCCCACCCCCACCCCCTTTACCCCCTACCACCTTCCGCTACCCCTTCCCTACCCCGACCTACCCCTTTACCCCAACCCCTAACCCCCTACCTCATCCGTGCCCCTTACCTCGACCCTACCCTTTTACCCCTACCACCTACCCCTACCTCGACACAAACCCTACAAGTGGGGGGTTAGGGGTATGGGGTGGGAGTAGGGATGGAGGGTAAGGTCGTGGTAATGGTAGGGGTAGGGAAGGGGTGGGGGTCAAGGGTGTGGGATTGGGGGTAGGGTGAGGGTACAGGGCGAGGTAAGGGTGTGGGTAAGCGACTAAGCGTACGAGGTGACCCCACATATTATATATATACTTGTGTTCATGAATGTTTGTGTGTGTGTATATCTATAGGATTATTTTGGACATTTTAATGTTAAACGGTGTTTTAAATCCTTTGACGTAAACACGAGCTTACAACACTGTTTATTTTATGTGCCGCTTATTAATACGAGTCTTAATAAGCACCGTTTACTAACCCGTGAATTGAAGTAAACGTGTCCTAGGTTTATTAGCTTTTAGGATTGTGGCTATTTTGAAGAAAAGACCGATTGAAAAAGTTATTTAATCAAACATTTTATTTGGATGATTGATTTGGTCAAAAGCCAAATATAATCAAATCAACCAAAAAATGGACACAAATGCTATTGTCACCCTAATTTGTACTTCATTTTGTAGCTTCTCCCTATATTTGTGATTTACAAAAGCACTTCATTAAAATGGAGCAATTCATTTAAGGGAAAATTCTCGAAATAAGAGTAAAATAGTCTGAAAATTCCAAAATAGGACTGTCATATTTTTATTACCAAAATAAGACTAATTACTGGCATGTTTTGGAAGTATCAGACTTTAAACATGACAGTATTTTCCAAACATGTCAGTAATTACTCCTATTTTGAGAATAAAAACATGATAGTTCTAATTTGGAATATACAAACATTTTTAGTCCTATTTAAGGTAATTTCTCTTTATTTAATGTAATAGACTTTTGTGAGGCACAAATATAAGAATTGATATAAATGGGGTACCTTGAGCAAAACAAAAAAATGGATGAGGGTTTTGGAAGTATCAGACTTTAAACATGACAGTATTTTCCAAACATGTTAGTAATTACTCATATTTTGAGAATAAAAACTTGATAGTTCTAATTTGGAATATACAAACATTTTTAGTCCTATTTAAGGTAATTTCTCTTTATTTAATATATTAGACTTTTGTGAGGCACAAATATAAGAATTGATATAAATGGGGTACCTTGAGCAAAACAAAAAAATGGATGAGGGTTTTGCTGGAGTCCAAAATCATACAACGCCTAGGGATGGACTCGGGCCCGGGCCGGGTCCGGGTCGGGCCTAGGCCCGGGCAGGCCGGCGGGTCAGAAATGGTGGACCCGGGACCGGCCCGGGTAACCACCGGGTCCGGTCCGGGTCCGGGCCGGGCCGGGCCAATTATATTTTTTTTTGTTTTCCTCTTCCTAATTAACCCCCCTCCCACCCCCAACCCCCCAAACCACCCCAAATGGCCCAAAATACCCAGCCCAACCCGAAAATTTAAAAAAAATTGAAAAGAAAAAACAAATAGTTTTTGGCCCGAACCGGGCCCGGCCGGGTCGGGCCTTGTTTTGGGTGACCCGAGCCCGGACCGGAAAACCCACAGGCCGGGCCGACCCGGACCGGTCACTGACCGGGCCACCGGGCCGGGCCGGGCCGGAACAGTACCGGTCCCAGGCCGGTTCCGGGTCGGGCCACCCGGCCCGAGTCCATCCCTACCCACGCCGAATGAAAATCAAACAAGTCCATCCCAAATCCAATTCTCGATTCAGACCTTTCTCCGACATTGCCCAGGTTTTACTTCTTCTCATTGCATACTTTACTCCGTATTATATAGAGAGCTTTGCTTCGTGGGGATTCAGTCTCCCCTTCAATGGAGGCTCGGAATTCCCAGCTCGAGGGGCGAGTCAAACTGAATGTCGGCGGCAAGCTATTTGAGACCACCGTCTCTACACTTCAATCCGGCGGCCCGGATTCTCTGTTGTCGGCGCTGTCCAACCGCCCTTCACATGACCCGGTTTTCATTGACCGTGACCCAGAAATCTTCTCCTCCCTTCTCTCCCTCCTCAGAACCAACCGCCTACCTTCCACTGCCCGACGGTTCTCCAATCAGGAGCTCATCGAAGAAGCCGTCTATTTCGGCATCGAGGCGCAACTCAGATCGGCTCTGGCACCTTGCCGGCTCAGCGGCATCGACGCTTCGCTATTTACCACCATAAGACCTTCCTCTGACGGCATCATATCGGACTTCAACGCTATTGACTCCGACGGATCAGTTTGGATTGCTCACGGCGGTCAGATATCGATCTTCGATTGGAGCTTGAGTCACTCTGCAACTATACGGACACATCTGGATGATATCAGTTCCATTCGTAGGGTTTGCCCTGATGTCGCGGCAATCGGGTCGGTTTTAGATTCAGGGCTTCATTTTTACAGCTTGGCGAACGGGCGCCGAATCGGGTCAACAGAGTGGACTGACCCGTCTGACCCGAGAATCTACAATGGGCAGGTCCATGCCATTGCCGACTGTGTTGACTCTGTGTTCGCTTCCTTTGAGTGTCAGCACAGAGAGAATTGCATTCTCGTGGTGGATAAATCCACAATGAAAGCAACTATGGAGTTGGGAAGGCAATCTGGAAAGTCAGCAAAAACGACCGTCATAGGAAAGATGACGTACGTGCCGGAGATCGGTGTCTTAGCCGGGAGTTCCATATCTGGGGGTGGGTTCGGGTACTCCGGATATGTACGATTATGGGACCCGAGAACTGGTGGTGTTGTATGGGAAACGAACGAACCGGGATCCGGCCGCAGCAGTAGATTTGGTGATGCATTCGCCGACGTGGGCGTTGATCCTGAGGATTTGACACTGTTCAAGCTCTGTTCCAAGTCCGGCGATTTGGCTGTGGCGGATCTTCGGAAACTAAGCGAAGATCCTTGGGTTTATCTGAAGGAGAAGAACCCCAGTATGAGATATATAGAAAATAGTGGCGGCGGTGCGAATAATTTCTTGATTCATTGTTACAGAAAACAAGTGTTCGTGGGGAGAGGGGGAGAGTTGGAGGTATGGTCAAGAATCAAAGAGCCACATGATGGAGGAGGAGAATTCTCTGAAGGAATGTACAGGAGAAACTTCGTGGATAAAGTTGGGGATTCAGAAAGAGGGACGATCAAGAAGATTGAGGGTGGTGGAGATAGGCTCTTCGTTACCAGAGAAGATGCCGAGGGAATTGAGGTGTGGCAAAGCTCCCATTTCTCCGGCGGAATTTTGGTTTCCTGAATCTTAAGCTTTCTTTTAAGAGTGAATTCTGCATTGGGCGTTTGGTTTGATTGGAATGAAAATTTTATGTGACAGGAGGAGATCAAAGTTTTATTTCTAATCGAAATTGTAATTATGATTAATTGAATAGTCTTTCCATATTTTTGTTGGGAAAAGGTGCCAACAAAAAATGACACCCCATCCTTGAGGGCCCCCAACACTGATCGAACGGTACGTTGGGAGGATGTAAATTGGACTATAATTCGAACCTGACATATAGAGAGTGGGACTCTGTCCCCGACACTTGCAGAGACCCTATGTATTTTTAGTATAGTAATCTCTCATCGCAGTTGTCGGGATTCGAATCCGGGACCTAACCTTTGTGGTACTCCCCGAGTTGAGCTACGCCTACCGGTAGCCCCAACATGCGGCTAACGGAGGTGCAAATAAATCCTTTTAAAACCGTTTTTAGTGTTATTGAGGCACCTGGTCAATTTGAGTACCAAATAGTAAACACTGTTACAGTTTTTGGCTGTGGCGGTTTTAATGTTACAACTAAGCCTAAGTTGTAGTGTTTTAATGTACTTTGTGGACAGACAATTCGTCTGCTGAGAACAGACGGGTGTACAAGAAAGGTGTACACAAAGCAAAGTTATTTGTATCTTACGTACTCTGTAGTATTTAGTAGGCAGTTTTTTATTCTAATTCTTTGTTGTTGATTGGTCATACACGTAATTTCTTTTTTATTCATTTTAGGGATGAATGGTGATGATCATTTAATTTTCAAATATATTTTGATACGCATTATTTATGTCCACCGGACGTCTTGGAACACACTAGTGAGCACTTCAAATAAAATAAATATAGTTTTAGTTCTACCTCACTTTCTTCTTCTCCCCTCAAAATCCAAACTTTGTAGTAAGACCTTAGGTGTTGTACAGGTAAATTCCATTCTGCTAAGTAGAATTTCAAAACAAATTCTCTTATTTTGTTCTCTTAGAGCATTTGGATTGTTCTAAGAAACAAATCAACAATTAGGACATGTTTACTTCATTTATTAGTAAACAACGCTTACTAAACTCCGCCCTATCTAGCCATTGCTTAATAAAACTCGCTTTAGTAAAGAAATGTTTACTTCATACGGATTAAGTTATGCTTTAAATTTAAAAGTCAAAACTAACCCCCTTCTTCTTCCCAAAAATAACGTTGCGCACGATTTTCGGTTTACGCAAGTTGCCGGTAATCTCTCTCTCATTCACCTATTCACCTACTCATTATCATCTTTCTTCCTAAAAATTCACAAATGTAAAAAGATCTTTATGTGTGCCGGAAGAGTCTAGAATTATTTGAGATAACCTCCTGTGAAAATATCTAGAAATTTTACTTTGAAGATTCAATTGCTCCATTCTATCTTCTTTTTATCAATTTTATTCTCTTCGGTACTATCGTGTACCAATAAAAATATACTTGCGGAGCATTTACATGAAAAAGTTCAGATCCGATTGAAAAATCTTCCTGATGAAAAAACATAAAAGTGATAATGAAATCTAAGCCGGTACACAATTTCAAATCGGTCATATAACTTGTTTGGAGGAAGTCATCCGGGCATCAATGTCCTGGTAGAAAGCAATAGATTCTAGTAGTATAGGAGGCAGAGCGAGGCGACCGAAAAAGATAGATACCAATAGTGTACTCCTCGTTTGTCATCTGAAAAAGTTGGTTATTTTAATATAGAAAGGTAAGTATGTCATCTGAAAAAGCTTAACTCGTCAGCTATTTAATACATGAAGGGCTCCTCGTTTTAATACGCGACACTTTAAGCAGATAGAATTCTTAGTAAGCGGCTTTGCATTCTACAACTTTGTTTACTTCAACCGCTTTAGTAAGCTAACGGTGTTTTACACGGCAAATTAAACATGTCCTTGGTGTTCAAATTTGTATTGATATGTTTCGCTCCTCGTTCAAAATTTCACATATTGAATGTATCAAATTTTATTTCATCAATTTTAATCCTATTCTTTTTTAAGAACAATTTCAGTCATATTCTATTCTTTCACGTTATCAGACATTCAAACAACAACAATGATACCCCAGTGTCGCAAAAGCTCCCAACAACAAAAACAACATTATTAGACATTCAAACTCTAGAAAAAGAGATAGGGGTGAACTCATAATATTATGGCAGAAATATGATAAACTGAAAGGATAAACTCAGCTCTTATAATTTTATCTGCAATTTAGAAAAATTGATGTAAGGTGCTCTATTAAATAGTTCTTTCGTTTTCAAGAAGGTAAGATCGTCAACAAAATAATTAAAATAGTATGACTCAATATGCATGAGGAATGCACTGATATTGTTGAATCTTTTTTCACCTTTGTCTTTACCAAATCATTTATGTTCTCAATTCTTTGTACATTATGCATCTCTTGAGTATGTAAATTTATCAAAAGGTTTACCTTTTCCCTTTTTTGAAAACCTTTTAATTAAGACTTCCTGTCCTTTTTTTTAGAACAATCTTTTAACAATTCATTCCTAAAATTGAACTGCATATTTTAGAGTTAAGTGACACTCTTTCAGTAAACAAACTTGACCTGCTTCATCGCTCATGTATGTCTATAGTCATTATTCACCCTATTATTCCCTTCGTCCCGTTTTGTAAGATACTTTACGGTTTGCGATATTTAACCGACGATAAAGCAAATTAATCCCTGTAAACATTCAAATTAGTTTTAGAAAATAAAATTTACATATACAGAAACTACATAAAAACCGCTACAAAACCTGCAAAAAATAATTTAAATTTCATAAAGTTTTGATATATAAAGTAAACGATTAAGAGTGATTTAAATTGACCAAGTGAATAGTAAATGTATCTTACAATTTGGGAATGAGGAGTAATATAAAATGCATTTAATTTAAACACTTTCGAAGCATGCTCTGTGTGTGCTAAAAAAATCCTTTTCTTCGCTTCTCCTCCACTCTGCAACAAATGAGTCCCTTTTTCATCGTTTAGCATTTAGCAATAAGCATGAGAACTTTCCTGTTTATTACACGTAAGAAACAAACTTCTTTATGGAAAATAAAAGGAAAAATTGATTGTAATAATCCTAACTATTGGCTGTCCGCTCATAATAATCTCAACTATCGATTATTTCAGAATAATCCCAACTTTAAGGCCCTTCCGCCAATAATAGTCCGAGGTGACTGACTATAAATAAATTCATATAGTTTCTAAAGAGATATAGCAGGTGATCCCTATAAATAATCCCGAATTTTAATTTTTACGCTTAATTTCTATTAAAAATCACTTTTAGAGCAGGTAATAAGCGGTTATGGACCATTATTGGCGGACGGTCCATATAGTTGGGATTATACAATAATAATCAATAGTTGAGATTATTATTAGCGGACCGGCAATAGTTGGTATTATTATTTTCAATTTTTCCAAAATAAAATAATCCATCTAAAAAGTCAAATTTTAATCACAATAGTGCAATTAAGCTCATTCTGTATTGTGCATACTTCTATATAATATATACATATAATTGTATATAATTATATATTATATACAGTATATTAGTAATTAAATTATACTTCGTATTTCATGATATATTTCTAATATATTACAAAAAGTAAAGTATGTATTTCATTGTTTTCATATATTCATATACTTTACAAAAAGTTAATTAAACAATGTAAACTGTAAACTAAGTACAAGTATATCATATTATCACACACACACATTTGTAATTTGTATACATCATTATATATTATAGTTTTTGTTTATGTTAATAGTTTAACAGTTTATTATTCTATAACATATAATAAATTAGTAATTAATGATGTACTGAAAAGCAATTTAGCAACTCAGTATGTGTCACATGAATACTGTAATTGCGTAATTACAACAACAACAATAATAAACCATCTACACGAAAATGATTTAAAATCATGTTTCTAATTTCTCAAAATATATCAGTAAACATGTCTTTTCAAAATAAAAGATGTTATTCAGAAATTCTTTAAATAATTTACGACATCTATTGATATTTACCATTTTAATTTATATCAGCGTGAAACTACCGGGGCATGCCCCGGGTGTTACACTAGTTTATATATATCTTAAAGTTTATATGGGAGGGATTGACACGGACTAACCGATTTTTCGTGCCAAATAGCTCGTGCCAAAGTTTTTTTGGCACGGATTTGGCATTTCCTTGCCAAAATTCCTACCAAAATCTCTGCCAATCCCGTGGTTTTTTTGTAGTGTTAATGAATCGAATACTTGTCGAACAATTCGAGCACAAGCTTATTAACGAGCATCACCTAGGGTTTTAAACCGAAGCATATATATTGAGCTTATCGAGCGTTCGATTCGAACATCGAACGTCTATCGAGCCGAACATGAGTCTCATTTATAAACATCACCTCCTCCATTTTGCTTCTACAAATTTGCAATTGTATTATTCTACTTTTGTTGGGCGCTCTTTAAATCCTCAATCTATGATTTTTACTTACTACATTAATACATTATTAGTTAATAGTTATGATAACTTTTTACATTTTATTATTGAATTTAGATTTTTTTTGTTGACTTACTTATTGATTGTTGTCTTGCTAAATCATGAACTACTGAAATTTTGTATTTGTTCAAATTGTTGTTTGACTTGAATTTGTGTATTTTAAATTTGTTGGAGTATTAAATTCGGAGTATCATCTTGTCAAATAGTGAAATTGTGAATGTATTTTAGCTTTGTAGTTAAAAATGATTTTTTTATCGTAGTTAAAAATGATTATGAAATTCAATTGTGAATTTGCGATATTATTAAAATTTCATTAAATGTATATAATTTAATTAATGTCACAGTGTAATAAAATTGGACGAATTGAGCCAAACTCGATCTCTCGGTGTCCGGGCTCGGCTTAGCTCGTTAACAACCCTATCTCACACATGTATATTACACATCCATCATCCATCATTTACTTAACAATTTTACTATAGGTACCCCAAATTTACCCCATTTCCTACCCCATATAAAAATCCTCTCTCCTCCCCCCACTTTTCTTCTCCCCCTCCCCCACTTTTCTTTTCCTTCCCTCCCTCTCTCCTCCCTCTTTTCTTTTTAGGCAGCCCCCC